TGGCAGTCCTAGTGTCACCAGGGGACCCATTTTCACAGCCTCATCCTTTGAACGGGCCACAGAGCCTGACTTGTGCCTTTCTGAATGGACAAACCAGGGATGTCTTGAAAGTAATAATAGCTCTATCACTTCCCCCTATGAAGAAATGTGCTGTGCCCTTCCTCCCAAAGGCCAGGACTGGTGCCTCTCACTAACAACAATCCATGGATTGTTGGAATATGTATGTGCTCTTTGTATTGGCACCAGAAGCTCAAAGATGCCAAGTTTTAGAAACCAAATGTACTTTAGAAAAGCAATTTGATCTTTGGGAACAAGGGAACCTAAATAAGTCCTGACCATGTCAGGGCAAGCTAAAAGATGAATTAATTAAAAGGCGAGTAGGAAGCATACAGTTTAAATTAAATATCAGATAACCCAAATAAATCCCCTTAAAACGTAACACAGCTATTTTGCCTGAAACCAAAACCTCATTTTCCTCTTTTGGATTCTCCATTTATGCTTTTATGTGGGTAGATAATGTCACAAAATTTGTATAGATTTCTCCAGATCAGAAATAAAGGGGAAGAATGATGGACTCAAGGTAAGCTCTAAGGGTAAAGTAATTGATTCAAAACTGTGATGTCTTTGAGAGGAGACAAATGGTTTTACATATGATGAAAGACACAGATGCTCTTCGGGTCCTAGGTATGGAATAAAATAGGCTTTGTGGATCACAAGGCTGTGGTGAAAAGGACTGACACATGGGGCAGTTGTCTCCATTTTAAGCAGTACTAACACAGGCTTGGGAGTTCTGCTACCAGGAAGTCTTGAGCATTCCATACACGCATTGACTCGCATGACCATCTGTGTGCTAATGACTCAAACCTCAGCCTGAGGTCCAGATCCATATACCCGGAGGCATGTTAGGTTCTCTGTTTGAGTGTCTACCAGACACACTTAACCTAACAGGAGTGAAACTGAACCCCTTGTTTTCACCTCTTCATCTGTTTGTCCTCTTTCCCTCACTAACCACTTCTACTAGTCCAGCCAGAGATCTGGGGTTACCCTCGCCTCCACTTTTTTCCACACCCTGAGCAACAATTATAGAGTCTTGAGTATGTTCTCTTGGAAATACCTCTCAGATCCATTTCCTTCTTTCTGTCTTTGTTTCTACTCTTCTTGCCTAGGCTACCGTCGCCTTTTCTGAGGATTATCACATCCTCCCATGCTGGGCATCCTACCTCCAACTTGCCCACATCCATGAATTCATTCTTTACTCCATGATCAGAGTGAGCTTTCTGAGATTCATATATGATCATGATTCCTCTGCTTAAAAGCAGTCAGTTGTTCTCTACTGCCCTTGGGATAACCCAAATTCTGTTGCAAGTATTCCAAGACTTGGTGGGATCTGGCCCCTTCCTGCCTCTCCAGCTTCATCTGTGGATACTCCACCCTTCCGCCTCCACACACATGGTAATATATAAATTCCAGCTGGGGTGAACTACTTGGTTTCCTGAATGCACTTCTTTCTCTTGACTCTGAGTCATTGTCTTAGAACACTGCTCACAGTTGTACCCACTCTTTTCTTCCCTGGCCACTTGTCTTGCTGGGCTAGGACCTGCTCATGCTTTAGATGTCAGTTTAGTTGTCATTTCTTAAAGGATGTGTTCCCTGCACCCCCTGCCCTCTGATTTAACCTGTTCGGTCTCATAGCACTGTGTACTTCCTTCATCAAAACACTTTCACATCATAGTTATTATTATGTGATATCATATTATGATAACTCCCTCTTTATCTTTTTGTTTCTCTATTTTATTTTATTTTTTTTTAATTTTATTTATTTTATTTATTTATTTATTTATTTATTTGACAGATCACAAGTAGGCAGAGAGGCAGGCAGAGAGAGACAGGAGGAGGCAGGCTCCCCGCTGAGCAGAGAGCCCGATGCGGGACTCGATCCCAGGACCCTGAGATCATGACCTGAGCCGAAGGCAGAGGCTTTAACCACTGAGCCACCCAGGCGTCCTGTTGTTTCTCTATTTTAGATGTCAATTCCATGAGGGAAGGGACTGTGTTGTTTACCAGTATGTTTGCAGAGCTCCACATAGTGCTCAAAAATATTTATGGAATGTTCTTAAAGAATCTCCATGACCAAATAAGCATCTGATGGAAATCTAGATTATGATTTAAAAAAAAAAAAAAGAGTTGGGGGCAGAGGAAAAAGAAAAGAGACAATCTTAAGTTGGTTCCATGCCCAGGGTAGAGCCTGACACAGGGCTTCACCTCACAATCCTGAGATCATGACCTGAGCTGAAATCAAGAGTGAGATGCTTAACAAGCTGAGCCACCCAGGTGCCCCTGGAAATCTAGATTATGTAAACTCTGAAATCCTCATGCCTTTTTGACTATGAATCTTCAACATGGACTTACAAAGTGTCAAATACTTCATAATACATTTGTGGTATTTAGTATTTCGTGTGGTTAATATTCTCCTTCCTCTTTTATACTCTCTGACTTCAATTTACATTCAATACCTACCCTGGGTTCCCACCAGTATTATATTGTAAGAGAATTTGGCAATACGTCTTTTCTGAGAAAATTCCTGTGGATTAAAATTTGGCTCATGTAGAAACTAAATAACCAGCCCTTCCAAAAGACATGGGTGGGATGCCTTTTCCCAAACATTTTTGGCATTTTTTTTCCAAGACAGGGAATAATTTGGATGGAAGAGAGGATTAAAGATTATCTCCTTTGGAATTAGCTTATAGAGAAAGAAGAGTTTGCCAATTGTCTAAATATTTTCACCATGATGTCTTGGGCCACTTGGTAATCTCTGTAATTTCTAACAAATGTAGAATGTTTTTGTGGAATTACAATGTTTGAGAAGACTTTTGGCAGTTATTTGGCCTTTTCTGGCACTTTCAATCCAGACATTTACCTTTCTAAAAGTCACTTCCTAAAAGGTGACTTTTACAAAGTCACCTTTCTAAAAACCAGCATCAATAATAACACCTTTCTTTGCAAAAGCCTTTGTTGATTACCCCAATGGGTAGAGAAACAAAACTCAGTCTCATCTGCGTGGCTCACAATACCCTGTATTGAACCATCCTACCTCTCTGAGAGTTCATCTTTTCGGGTCCCTTCATGTATCCTACCATCTGGTCACACTGTATGACTTCTCATTCTCCAAACGCACCATGCCCTTCAAGCTTCCATAGTTTTGCCTCTCTCTGCCCTGTACTTAGATTCCCTTTTCCTTAACCATCTTTGCCAAGGCAAGTTTACTCATCCTCCAATGCCCAGCATTCTAGTGTCTGTAATTCTTGAATAACTAATGGGGACCTGATTGCCCATGGTTCTAAATATCAGACAAAGGCAGTTGAACTTGGCCCCAAGGGAGTGAGACTGAAGAATTCTGAGTAGGTGGATGGTGCACACAAAATTGTGTTCCGTGAACAAGTTAGAACAAGCCAACAGTCCCAGGAACCCGATAGTGTTGATGTTCACATAGTGTATAGCCAATTAGAAGGAAAAACCATCTCTTCTAACTTTCCTGGAGATGGAATGCAGATATTCCCCTTCTTTCCTCCTAGTCCAGTATGATGTTTTGCTCTTAACGTGGTGTTCTGCTCACCACACTACTGGCCAGCTGTAAATTTCTATTAGACACACCAATCCAGAGAAACAAATAGATGTGACCCTTACATCATGAGGCCCTTCCTCTATCAGCTTTGATTTCAGGCTGCCACATTCATGACTTCTGTCTAGATTTCCCAGTCAGCCACATGCTAATGAGCTTCATGCTGAAAATGAAGATGAGATGAAGGCATGCTTACTCAATGTCACAGAGATTTTTAAAAAGCAAAGGATCTTTCTAGTTTGTCTCCATCTTCTTAGAGTTTTTGTGAATGGCAAAATAGGAGAATGGGAAAACAAAAATGAAATGACTTGAAAAAGTTCAGCTTAAACTTGAAAAATCCTCATGCTTGGCATCATTGACACTGAGAAATGGAAATGGAAATGGAAGCCAGGAATTTCCAACTGACAACACAATCGGAAACCATACATTAAAGAACAGAACATGAAATGGGTACCGGTGTTTTAAATGGATGTGAAAAGATCTTACTCGTTGTAAAAGAAACACACACACACACACACACACACACACACACACACACACACACACCTTTTCAATTAAGAGAACTTTTCAATTCAAGAGAACCAAGTTGCTTTGGAGTTCAAATTGGTGTCTTCACAGTGAATTCAACCTAAATGGATGTATTTTGCTCATGCCATGTGGTTTGCAATGAAATTCAGAGTTTCCCTCCCTTGTCCTCTCCTTTCACACATCAGCGCTGTCAGTCCTCAAGGAAAAGATGTTTGTCTTCTACAGAAGCTAAGAACTTTCTTCCTGGCCCTTGGCTTTCATTACCCCTACTGGGGGAAGAAATTATTTTACTTTTCTGTTAGCTCCCTTAGACAGTTAAACACAACTTTTTAAAAAGTTAAGAAAAAATAGGGGCACCTGGGTCACTCAGTCATTAAGTATCTGCCTTCTGCTCAGGTCATGATCCCAGGTCCTGGGATCAAGACCCGCATCAGACTCCCTGCTCGGCGGGAAGCCTGCTTCTCCCTCTCTCACTCCCCCTGCTTTTGCTCGCTCTGTGTGTGTGTCTCTCTCCCTGTCAAATAAATGAATAAAAAATCTTCTAAAAAAAAAGTTAAGAAAAAAATTAAAAAATAATACTAAAATTTAGTCTAACAGTTATACACTTACTGACTTCCCCATGCCACCTTCTCCCCCAGAGAAAGGGTGCTTTGGTTGACTCTAGTTGGGGTTTTCATGAACTGTTTTGTGTGTGTGGACCCTGTATGAGAGAGACTACCTGTGACTGATTTAGTAAAAATGTTTGTTTACCAGAACAAATAGCACCTCCCTATTTTTCTTCCCCAGCTCCCACAAAGATTAGCAGGTACATCTGCATTTCTTTATTGATCTTTGAAGAATTTAATTTGCACTTTGTTTTTATTTTTAAATTTTATAATTTCATGTGACTTTTATCATCACAAGGCACCCCACCCCGACATTTTCAGTAAGTCCTATGTGCATATCAGAATGTTGAGAAATAGTGGCATCTCACTTGGGAATGTCCTAAAAGATTTCCAAGTGGAGTTCTCAGCTCTCAGTGAGGAGGGCAGGGGGAAGAGGAGTAGGTGACAGCCGGTTTGCTGGGGGATTCCACAAGATTTCCTGCTTCTAGTTTTCTGGTCCTGTTAGGCTTGCTTGAGACCTCCCCTGGTTAAAAACCAACTTCCTGCAAACATTCAAAGGAGATTTCAATAGGTTGACATCCACCACCTGAAGGGAGAAGATGAGAGAGAAGATCAGGACAGAAAGGCTTCCCTTTGAGAATGTGGTTTTGACAGTAGTAGGCAAAGGGCTTCCTGCCACAGAGGGAGTTGTGGCCCAGGCTCTTCTTCATGTGAGGGGGTCATGGTCAAGGTTTGTCAAAACAAAGCCACACAGAACACCCTAATGCCAAGTGGGCAGAAGCTCTGGTCTGTTGCACATGAAGTCATTAGGAATTCCTTTGGAGCAAGAGTTAAGCTAAGTGAATACAGATGTCTAACTGTCCCCTTATTATCTCCCCGAGGCAACGGCTTAGAACCTGCCACTTCCCTTTGCAAAATCTTTAAGGTTGCCCCCCTTCTTGAAGTAAGTCTAAAATCTTCAACCACCCTTTTAAAGTCTTCCTCAGTTTTGTTCTATGTAATTTTCCAATCTCAAGTCACGAGACTCCAAACAGGCAGATGTCCTAGTAGTAGCTGTGGGTTTTTGCTCTAGCAGTAACTTCTGTCTGGATAACACCTCCCTTGGGGCGGAAGATCTGCATTTTCTTCAGGGTCCCACTCAGTGCCAGGGTTTCCCATCTTATAGTCAGCCTCTTCCACTCACTCTGTTAGAGCTCTGCTACAGCATTCCTAATAGTATTTCCAGGGAAAATTAGAAGTTCAGACTTTGACATTAAATACATCTGCCAGCTTGGCAGTTTACTGTGATGTTAAGCAAGATACAAATCTTGCCTAAACCTCAATTTTCTGCTCTGATAAATGGAAATTATTCTAAAATATGGTAGTTGTGAGGATTGCATCAGAAAACACCAGGAGAAAAGCAGTTAGAATACTTCCCGGCATCACATACAACTTGGCTATTTTTGTTTCTTTCAATCAACTGTGCTATTATAGGGCCACATCATATGTGACCTGTGTTCTCAGAAGTGCTGTGATGTCCACCTGGCAGGTGCTAAACAGCTCTTTATTGAATTAAGATATTTACTGAACAGATCCGTGGTAAGAAGCCAGAAAAATCACACCAAATAATGCAACTGTGTTAGCTCTCTGTGCATAGCCCACCCCTGGCCCACTGTTGGAAGCTTCTCAGCAAGGTGCCCTGTGGGCAAACACCTATTGGCTTACTGTCACAATGAAAAAAAAAAATGAGATAAATCCCAAATAGTCCCCCTAAAGATAATGACATTATTTTTTCCTTTAAAAGCCAAATGGGAAAAAATTATCAAAAGATGGCCTACAGAAGTGGTTCTCAAACTTTTGGTCTCAGGATCTCTTTCTATTCTTGAAATGATTGAGGACCTCCAAACACTTCTGTTTATGTAGATTATGCATAGCTCTCTTTCATTGTATTAGAAATTAAAACGGAAAAATTTAAAGTATCTGTTAATTTATTTAAAAATTATAAACACACAACATGCTAACATAATACGTATTAGGAAAATAACTGCGTTTCTAAAATAGACCAACAAAACAGTGAGAGAAGTAACTTTCTTATGTTTTATTTTTTTACATTTTTGCAAATCCCTTCAATGTCTGGTTTTGTAGAAAACAGCTGGATTCCCATAACTGGTAGTGAGATGTTAACTTGAAGAAAATTGGCCCCACAGAAGTAGTGGGAAAGGGGAGGACTCAACAGAGGGTAACTTCTTAAAGGTTCTTGCCATGTGGAATCTGAGTCATATCAGTGAAACTTCCTTACCTGTTATATTAAAATCTACTGGTCTGTCTTGCCTTTTAAATGGATCGTTCAGCATGCATGATTCTTTAACATCATGCATCCATCTTTTGAAAAATACTGCTTCACTGAGTTATGCAGACCTTCAAAATTTTAATTAATTTCATTGCACAGCATATAAAACTGCCATTAATATCACTTCCAACCTCATCAGAGAAGTCTTTAAATATTGGGAAGCTGCCAAGTTCTTGGTGAAAGATAGGAGTTTATAATTTTTGGTTGGAAGTTCAAACTTTTACCATTGGCAATGCATGCTCTCATTTTTCTTGAAATGACAGGCTCACTTGGTTCATTTTGAGAAAATACCCAAGTCTGAATAACCATAGTTTACTTACTAGTTATCCTTCCGAGTGGCTATAATATTTCATTAAAAAGAGACCAGTTTTGCTCACTATGCCAAAAAATGCTTTACCTAGAAACAACTATTATATATATGCTGATGTACAATGGGATTCCTTTATGTGTACTTCTCATTTCACAACACAAAATAATAAAAAGATAAGTAATCAAAGCTGAAATTATTTTAAAACAATGTATTAATTTGTTAAAATTAATTATAATTAGTTATAAAAATTATTTTCTAATGCATTTTCCTTTATAGATTATAAATTCATTATTATAGAATAGTTGAGTGTTTGTTAGTAATTTATTAATTATCTAAAAATTACTAGTTTTTACTGCTTCATCAAAGTTATCCTTAAGTCAAACTGGCATTTTCTTGTTATTCTAAGTGTGTACCTGGCAATGAGAGACACAGTGATGCTATTCCACGGCTGACGGTGTTCAGCAGATGAAAGGCCGAGAAGCTAGGGAGGCTGCCATCAATGAAAACATATTTAAAAGGTACAATCATAAGTAAAGATAAATTTCTTCCCATAACACTGAGCATAGCACAGGCCTTTTCCCTTTTTCTTCCCTGAGTTTCTTCCTGAGAGGACATGCCTTGTCTCTTTAGGACAGGATTAAGATCAGAAAGACAGGTGTTACCTATAGAGCAGTCCTGCCCAGCCTTTGCCATCTGATACTTTTCTTTAACTGTGATCACTCTGCAAGGGATATGAGCTGGGTATCAGAAGGCCTGAAGCAAGATCATTAAAAGTTTGAGTAAATTCCAGAAGATTGTCTCTAATGTTCTAGTGCTCCCAGTCAAAATATTAGAAAGAACTACATTACAGTGTTTAATTTTCTAATCTAATTAATAAAATTTCTTTTTGCCTTCTTATTCATTTGTTATTTGCAATATATACTTTATCAAGTAACACTGGGCTTATTAGAGCCAGTGATAAATCTGATGATGTTGGGAAAGGGCTAAGAATGACAAGAAATCAGAGGTCACTCTCTGTTCAAAGAGAGCAAAGACCTCAGAAGGTGGCCTTCTTGAGAAATTTGTAGTCTTCAGCTTTTAGCAACTCAGAATCAATATGACTCATCAAAACACTGGAAAAGTAGGTAAAGAAATGCAGAAAGGTAACTTGTTTCCAATGGGTTAGGATTGGGCAGATTCCAAGGTTACACTTACTTGAAACATTGGAAGGATTCTTAAAGAAATCATATACAAGTGAAATGGTAAGTGAATGATCTGATCTAAATTCATCCCAACCAAATTTCATCCCGAGCATACAGATTTTATCTGTACTAGAGAGGCCTCGGTCATCAGACCTAATCATTTTGTTCTGAGTTAAAATAAGATAATATTAATGACTAAGAGGAAGCAGTACATTTTCTTCTATTCATTTAGACCAAATAACATTTTCTATATCTTTTACCCTTTAGCAATGAAAGCAGTCCTGAGTCTGTCTTTTTATAGTGGAAATATCTTTGAATCAGGACACAGGGGACATGAGTTCTTTTTTGACTTTAAACATTGCCGGGGGTGACATCAGCAAGTTTCTCTGTCTTTTTTGGTGTGAAATGATCACCAGATAGTTCAACTCCCTTAATTCACAGATATTATACCTTTACAGTCTTATTCTCATGCATCATAAAGACAGAGTTCACCTGAGTAAGGTAGATTGTCCTTTAGCTCTAGCTAAATAAAAATGCCTTGAACATACACTACCTGCTTCCAGTTTCAAGGCCTGTGTGATTTTGGGGGGTATTCGGGTTCTCTTGGCACTTCTACCTATTAAGGTCTTTGTTCCCTTACATGCTGGGAACAAAGGTACTATCCCCTACCTTACCAACTGATGGGGATCTTTGCTTTACATACACCTCCAGTCTATCTTCCTATTATACATTTGAGTGCTTAGTAAAAGTTAGTAAATATTAATGAAGGTGCCAGGGACAGGTAGAGTCAGAGATTAGACATTTTTTTGGTTCCTGTCTTAAAAAGTCATGGGTTAGAATTCTGGTCTATCACTTATTAGTTGGATAATCCTGGACAATTTACTTAATCTTTCTGAGTCTTAAAAGTCACTTGAAAGACATTACCTCCATTATAGGATTGCCATCAGAATAAATGAGATCATGCATACTCAACTCAGGTTTCCAGCCTTCCAAGGCCACCCTCTAAAAACAGATATAAATAAAAGCAATATTGAGATTTCCACATCTGGGAATATGGAATAAATTTAATTTTCCTCCCACTGAGTACAAATAAAACCCCTGGACATTATATTTAAAACAAGCTTAAGAAGACTCTAAGAGGTAAAGAGAGGAAGGCTGAGCAGCCAGGAATCTTAGAATATGAGGGAAGACACAGTGGTGAGTTCTCTGGGTTTTCTTTTTGCCTTGTATATTCTGTTTTGGAGCTGAAGAAACCAGCAACTAGTAAACTGCAACAGGAAAGACAAGAGCCCCAATGAAGACTTGGTCCCTATAAAGACATTGGTCCCCCAATAAAGCCATAGGATCAGGAAAAGGGCAGCTGAGCAAGACAGAAAAGGTTTAGACAATAATTTCTCTATTCCATCTACAGAACACCTCCACACATACCAGCAAAAGAACAGTGAGAAAGCTAGACTTCCACTCTTACAAGGCTTAAATGAGGTGCCCTAATACCCCTTCAGGGTGATATCCAGAAAAGCTCAAGTGGGAAACCAGGACTTTCACCCTCAACCCATAATGAGGTCACTTGCATCCCAGTGTTAGTGGAGACAACATGAGGAGTTAGAATCCACACTCTCATCTAGCAGTAATGAGGTTGTATGCCCTTTTCCTCTGCTGGAGTGGTGTTGGGGGACAGGGGGAAGCTAAACTGGAAGGTTTAAATAAGATTCATTATCTCATGACATAAAATGAAAATGTCCAGGTTTCAATCAAATATCATACCAAGAACCAAGAATATTGCAAACTAATGAGAAGAGACCATAAATACCAATGCTGAGATGAAAGAGATCCCAAAGCGATCTGACAAAGATTTTAATGAGTCTATTGTGAAGATGGCTCTATGAGTAATTATGAACACTCCTGAAAAAAAAAGAAAAAATAAATTGAAAGTCTCATCAAGACAAGAGAAGACATAAAGTAGAATCAGATGGAAATTTTAGAATTGGAAAAACAATAACTGCACTAAAACAATGGGCTCAACACAAGAATGGAGGAGACAGAGGAAAGAAACCAGTGACCTAGAACATGGAGTAGTAGAAATTACCCAGTCTGAACAACAGAGTGGAGACTGAAAAAAAAAAAAAAAGTAAACATAGCTTCAGAGACTTGCGGGACTCTAAAAAAGATCTAACATTCATGTTACCAGGGCTCCACAAAAGGAGGAGAAAGAAGGAGGGCTGAAAAAGTCCTCAAAGAAATCGTGGCTGAAATCTCCTCAAATTTGACTAGAGATAGAAATAAGCAAATTCAAGGAGCTGAACAAACCCCAACCAGAGTAAAAACTAAAGAAGACTATCATAATTAAGCTTCTGAAGACTAAAGACAAAGAGAAAAAAAACCCTCAAAAGCAGCCAGAAAACAAAACAAAACAAAACAAAAACCTTACCTGTACAAGAAAGACAATTCTAATATAGGTGGATTTCTCATCAGAAACTATGGGGGCCAGAAGGAAGTAACATAATACTTTGTTAAGTACTGAACAAAACAACAAAACCTCATCAACCCCGAATTTCATGCTGCCAAAAATATCCTTTGAGAATGAAGGGGAAAACTTTGAGCTTCTGGGGAAGAAGGCAGAGGAGGAGGATCTATAGGAGTTTACCTTGTCCCAAGGATGCACCCAGAAGACACCCACTGAAAATGACCAAAGACTCACAGAAGAGACTCTCCACAGCTAACTGTAGAAAGGAAGGCCACATCAAAAACCCTAGGAAGGGTAGATACATGGTTAGGAAACAAATTAACCTGGGAGAGATGAAGGCTGGGGGGAGAAGTGGGGTGTTGGACACTGCAAGCATGAAGAAGGGAGAGGACCAGAACCCACACCAGCCACCCCAGGCATGAGGCACCCACTGGGAAGATGTATCCCCTTACCATTTGGCTTTGAAAACTGGAGGGGCTTAACTATATGAGTTTTTACAGTCACTGGGGCTTAACACCTGGAACTTTAAAAATCAGCAGGCTCAGCTCTGGGAGAGCTGGAGGACATTAAGAAACTGAGTGCCTGCCCTTAAAGAGACAGAACAACAAACAGCCCCTGCTGAGAATCTGCACAGAAGCAGCAGTTTGAAAAATGGAGTATATGGAAAGGAGATATACTTACTAATTTCAGAACTTGTACAGGAGGGTCAGGGATATTATGACACTTCTCGAAGAAGAAAGGAGCTGGCTAGTGCCATTTTTCTCCCCTGCCTCCCAGCCTAGATATACAGACACCTGCAGGAAACAATAGAAATCAGCACAAACGTTTGCCAGCTTGTTTTACTAAGAGTGTGCCCCCCCCACACTCTCCTACAGATCCATCCCATTCAACCCACTCCACTCCACAAAGCATGGCATTATGCCAGCAGTTCCCAGTGGCCAGCACCACTCCAAAGTGACTCCTGCCTGGGGAGAGGGGAATAAACAGTAGACTAAAGGAAGCAGAAAAATGAAACAGTGAGCTGGAAGACAGAGAAATGGAAAACGACCAAACCAAACAGGAAAAAGAAAAAAGAATAATAAAAAGTGAAACTAGATACAGAGAATTCAGCAGCACCATCAAGCATAATAACATTTGAATTATAGGGACCACTATCAAGTGGTGTTTATTTCTGTGATGCAAGTGTGGTTCAAAATTTACAAATCAATCAATGTGATACATCATATCAACAAGAGAAAGGATAAAAACCATATGATCATTTTAGTAGATGTAGTATAAGCAATTGAAAAGTACATTAATTCATGATAAAAAACCCTCAACAAAGTAGGTTTAGAGGGAACATACCTCAACATAATAAAGGCTGTATAGGAAAAACCTATGGCTAACATCATACTCAATGATGAAAACTGAGAGCTCTTCCCCTAAGATCAGGAAGAAGACAAGGCTGTCCACTCTCACCACTTTTCTTCAACATGGTACTGAAAGTCCCAACAACAAGCAATCAGACAACAAAAAGATATAAAAGGCATCCAAATTGGTAAGGGAGAAGTAAAACTCCCACTATTTGCAGGTGATATTATACTCTATACAGAAAATGCTAAAGACCCACAGAAAAGTTATTGGAACTGATAAATTCAGGTAAGTCACGGGGTACAAAATCAATGTACAGAAATTTTTTGCATTTCTATACACTAATAATGAAGTAATAGAAAGAGAAATTAAGAAAATAATCCCATTTACAACTGCACCAAAAATAATAAAATGCATAGGAATAAATTTAACTGAGAAGATGAAGGACTATACTGTACTCTAAAAACTACAAAACACTGATAAAAGAATCAGAAAATGATATGAACAAATGGAAACGTAGTCTATGCTCATGGATTGGAAGAACAAATACTGTTAAAATGTCCATACTACCCAGAGCAATCTATAGATTTAATGCAATCCTTATCAAAATACCAATGGCATTTTTCATAAAACTAGAACAAATAATCCTAAAATTTGTATGGAACCACAAAAGACTCCAAATAGTCAAAACAATCTTGAAAAGGAAGAATAAAAGTGGAGGTATCACCACAGTATAGTATTTCAGATTTAAAGATAAACTACATAGTTATAGTATACAAAACAGTATGGTACTGTCACAAAAAGATACACATAGATCAATAGAACAGAATAGAGAGCCCAGAAATAAACCCATGCTTATATGGTCAGTTAATCTATGAGAAATGAGCCAAGAATATGCAATGGGAAAAAGACAGTCTTTTCAACAAACGGTGTTGAGAAAACTGGACAACTACATGCAAAAGAATGAAACTGGACTACTTTCTAACACCATACATAAAAATAAACTCATATGTGGAATTTAAGAAATAAAACAGATGAACATAAGGGAAAGGAAGGAAAAATAAAATAAGAGGAAAACAAAGAGGGAGGAAAACTGTAAGAAACCCTTAACTATAGGGAACAAACTGAGGATTGCTGGGGAAGTTGATTATGGGAGGCTGGGGTAACTGGGTGATGGGCATTAAGAAGGGCACTGGAAGCAATGGACACTGGGTGTTGTATGTAACTGATGAATCACTGAATTTTACTTCTGAAACTAATAATAAAGTATATGTTAGTGAAATTGAAATTAAATTTAAAAATTTAAAGAAAACTCAAAATGAATTAAAGACCCAAAAGTGAGACCTGAAAGTATATAAGTCCTAGAAAAGAGCACAGACAGTAATTTCTCTGATGTTCAGAGCAACATTTTTCTAGTTATGTCTCCTGAGACAAGGGGAAAAAAGCAAAAATTAACAATTAGGACTACATCAAAATGAAAAGCTTTTGCACAAAAAAGGAAACAATTAAAAGAAAGACAGCCTACTGAATGGGAGAAGATATTTGCAAATGATATATCCAATAAAGGGTCAGTATCCAAAATACATAAAGAACTTAAACATATCTCAACATCAAAACCATCCAAATAATCTAATTAAAATGGGCAGAAGACGTGAACATTTTTCCAAAAAAGACATGAAGATGGCCAACACACTCACGAACAGATTTTCAACATCACTCATCATCAGGGAAATGCAAATGAAAACCATAACGAGATACCACCTCACACCTGTCAGAATGGCTAAAATCAAAACACAAGAAACAACAAGTGTTGATAAGGATGCCAAGATAAAGGAACTCTTGTACACTGGTGGTGGGAATGCAAGCTGGTGCAGCCACTATGGAAGACAGTATGGAGGTTGCTCAATAATTTAAAAATAGAATTACCTTATGATCCAGTAATTCCACTACTGGGTATTTACCCAAAGAATATGAAAACACTAATTTGAAAAGATATATGCACCCCTATGTTTATTGCAGTATTATTTACAATAGTCAAATTATGAAAGCAGTTGAGCATTCATTGATAGATAAATGGATAAAAAGATGTGGTATATGTGTGCACACACACACAGACACACACACACATACACAATGGAATACTACTTAGCCATAAAAAAGAATGAATTCTTGCCATCTGCAACAACAACGGATAGATCTACAGGGTATAATGCTAAGTGAACTAAGTCAGAGAATGATAAATACCATATGATTTCACTTATATGTAGAATTTAAGAAGAAACCTAATGAACAAAGAAAAAAGAGACAAACAAACAAAAAACAGACTCTTAACTAAATGCAACAAACTGGTGGTTGCCAGAGTGGGGGTGGATGGGGGAATGGGTGACGTAAGTGAAGGGGATTAAGAGTACACTTATTGTGATGAACACTGAGTAATATATAGAATCGTTGAATCAGTATATTGTACACCTCAAGCTAATATAACACTGTATGTTTATTATCCTGGAATTTAAAAAAAAAAATGAAGAGAAAATCTAGAGATTTTCAAATGAAGGAAAACAAAGAATTTGTTGCCAGAAGTTCTACTCTAAAAGAACTGTTAGGGAAAACTCTCTAAACAGAAAGGAAACAATAGAAAAGGGAACTCTGAAATATCAGGAAGAAACAAAAATCATGGTAAGAAAAGACATGAGTAAATACAACAGACTTTACCACTCCTCTTGAATTTTCTAAATTATGTTTAATGTGGAAACAGAATTATAACACCAACTGATGTTGTTCTAAATGTATGAGGGAATTATATTATAAATAAGAAAGGATAAAGGGACATCAAGGAGGGGAAGACTCCCGTTCTACACTAAAACTGGTAAAATGATGACACTAGTAGATTATGATAAGTTGTATATCAGTAGTTGCATATAATGTAGTGACAATAGCTTCACCAAAAAAAAAAAAAGAACAAAAAAATGCTATATATAAATGAAAATCAAATTCAAAAAAAAAATGTCTAAGTAATCTCAGGAAGGCAGGGAAAAGAAAATAGAGAAACAAAACCAGAATAGTCAGGAAACAAAAAATATAATCAGATTTAAATCCTTATGTATCAATATTTATACTGAATGTAAATGGTCTAAATACAACAGTTAAAAAACAGAGATTGGTAGAGTGGATTAAAAGCACATGACCCAGCTATATATTGTCCACAGGAAATTCACTTCAAATACAATGATCTAGGCAAGTTGAAAGCCAAAGCATAGATAACATATTGTATGATCCCATGTATATAATATTCATGAAATGATGAAATTTTAGTAAGCTGAACAAAATAGTGCCACCAGGTGTAAAGGATGGGGTGGGGGCAGAAAGGAAATGGATGTAGCTATAAAGAGGCAACTTGTGGAGTTCTGAACACTATGGGTAGTTTCTGGGGCATTAAAGTATATTTGCTTCTAATTTAAGGAAATCCATCAGTCTTTTCTTTTATGGTTTCTACCTTTCTTAGAAAATATTGCACACACCAAAATTTCATAGTGAGAGTCATTTTATTTTCTCCTAGCCCTTTTACAGTTTCATTTTCTACTCTCAGCTCAATTTCTCTGTAAATTGGGAGGGGCCAGGGGATAGTGTGCTCCATAGTAATTTTTTTTTTTTTTTCAAAATTCAGACTCAGTTGTCTTAACAGTGTTGAAGAAGCAATCCTTCATCTATTGATTTGGAATATCATTTTAATTATTCAAAAAAAATTCTTACATTCACTTGTACTACCTGTATCTAGCCTTTTATATCTTAATGTTTTATTTTTCCCTTTGCCTATGAATCACTATTATAAAACATTTAAGCTCCAGAAGATGTTCATAGTCATCTATCTCTATCATCAAGCACTTACTAGCTGGGTAAACTTTGGTAAGTAAAGTTCTTTAAACTTGGGTTTCTGTCTGTAAAGTAAAACTAAATATCCCTCTCTGTATTATATTAGCATGCCAAGGTCCTCCCACTTTGAAAGCCTACTAATGCAGGATTCTGTAAGTTCTGCTTACCTGGTTTAGCCCTTTTGTGCCCTAGAATCTTGTTTATAACAGTCTTAAAAAATAAACTTTTTTAATTTTGAGATGGTTTCAGATTAACAGAAGATGTGCAAACATAGTTTACAGAATTCCCACATATCCTTCGCTCAGCTTCTTCTTACATCAGCATCTTAGACAACGATGGTACAGTTATCAAAACCAATGTGTGATGGCCCCATACACAGAACTAAAAACACCCTTTGATAGCGATCTTTCTTACTGGAGGAGATGATTATGCCAGAGTCTCAACTCCTATTATTTGTGCATTTTGGTTCCTAAATGCCAAAATTAAAAGGTAGACTAAAAGCCTCAAGTTGTTTCCTAAAATTAAAAAAAAGAAAAACAAGTAGAAAAAGAA